GCCCCCCGGGGCCTTCGTGGCCACCGGGAATCGCGTCGCCTTCTTTGGGGCCGCCGTCAAGAAGGTAGGACGTGGGGGACCTCCAATGGTGGTGGCCTCCTGTCACGGTGTCACCTGCTCGTGCAGGGATGGGGAGGGAGGTGGACACGTGGGGATGGGGCACGGGGCTGTGAGGACTTGGGGACATGGGGATGGGCCACCAGGACACGGGGACAAGGGGAGGGACACGGAGGAGGTCACCGGGATGGAGATGAGGAGTGGGGACACAAGGAGGACATGGGGATGGGCCACCAGGCCACAGGGACAAAGGGAGGGACACGGAGGAGGTCATGGGAGTGGAGATGTGTCATGGGGACAGGGGGACACATGGAGGGGGTGAATGTGGCCACCAGGAGGACATGGGGACGGGCCACCAGGACAAAGGGAGGTACACGGAGGAGGTCACCGGGGTGGAGATGTGTCATGGAGGACATGAGGAGGACGTGGGGATGGGCCATGAGGCCACGGGGACAAGAAGAGGAACACGAAGGAGGTCAGGGGGATGGAGATGTGTCATGGAGGAAATGGGGGGACCTGGAGGTGGTGACCATGGACATGAGGAAGACTTGGGGATGGCCCACCAGGACACAGGGACAAGGGGAGGGACACAGAGGAGGTCATGGAGGTGGAGATGTGTCATGGGGACATGGGGGGACATGGAGGTGGTGAAAGTGACTACCAGGAGGACATGGGGATGGGCCGTGAGGACAAAGGGAGGGACATGGAGGAGGTCAAGGGGGTGGAGGTGTGTCATGGAGGACATGAGGAGGACATGGGCCCTGGGGATGGCCCACCAGGACACGGGGACAAGGGGAGGAACACGGAGGAGGTCATGGGGGTGGAGACGTGTCGTGGGGACATGGGGAGGTGGTGAAGGGTCCCATGAAGCTGTGGAGATCTGGACATGGACCCAGAAGGTGGCCCACATGGTGGTGGCCACACAGGGACGAGCACCATGGGGATGGAGAAGCAGAGCTGGTGGTGACAGCTAATGGGGGTCATGGTGACGCGGTGACATCTCCCCGCCCCTCCCTCGCCAGGTGAACACCTTCCAGGCCGTCCTGGTGGTCGCCGGGGCCAACTGCTTCGTCATGTTCAACTACGGGGACCTCCAATGGACAACCGGCATCGCCAACCAGGGCGACGCCCACACCGGCCTGGGGGGTGTCCCTGCCCAGGTGGGAGATGGGGGACAGTGGGGGGAGGGGGATTTGGGGAGACATTCAGGGGATTTGTGGTGGAATTACGGGAATTTGGGGTGGAATTAAGGAAATTTTGGGTGGAATTAGGGAAATTTTGGGTGGAATTAAGGGGATTTGGGGTGAAATTAAGGAGATTTAGGGGAATAAAGGAAATTTGGGTGAAATTAAGGGGATTTGGGGTGAATTAAGGAAATTTTGGGTGAAATCAAGGAAATTTTGAGTGTAATGAAGGAAATCATGGGAATTTGGTCTGAATTATGGGAATTTAGGGTGGAATTAAGGGGATTTGGCCCAAATTACAGGAATTTGGTGTGAAATTAAGGAAATATGGGCGGAAATCAAGGGAATTTGGGGCAGATTTAATGCGATTTTGGGTCAAATTAAGGGGATTTGGGGTGAAATTAAGGGGATATGGGATGAATTACGGGAATTTAGGGTGGAATCGAGGGGATTTGGGCCAAATTACAGGAATTTGGGGTGAAAGTAAGGAATTTTGGGGGAAAATCAAGGAGATTTTGGGTGGAATTAAGGGGATTTGGGGGGCATTAAGAGAAAGTGGGAGGATTTGGGCTGAGTTACGGGAATTTGGGGTGGAACTAAGGAGATTTTGGGTGGAATTAAGGAAATTTTGGATGGATTTAAGGAGATTTGGGGGGGAGTTAAGGGGATTTGGGCTGGAATTAAGGGAATTTGGGGTGGAACTAAGGAGATTTTGGGTGGAATTAAGAAAATTTTGGATGGATTTAAGGAGATTTGGGGGGAATTAAGGGAATTTGGGAGGATTTGGGCTGAATTACAGGAATTTGGGGTGGAACTAAAGAGATTTTGGGTGGAATTAAGGAGGTTTTGGGTGGAATTCAGGGAATTCTGCGTGGAATTATGGGGATTTGAGGGGAATTAAGGGAATTTGGGAGGATATCGGCTGAATTACAGGAATTTGGGGTGAAATTAAGGAAATCTGGGGGGAAACCAAGGGAATTTGGGGCAGATTTGATGGGATTTCGGGTGGAATTACGGTGATTTGGGGTGAAATTCCGGGGATTTGGGGCAGAACCACCGCCCCTCAGCC